TCTCTCTCTCTCTCTCTCAATCTCGAGGGCAGCGATCTTGCCGTTGAGATAGCGACAAACGTGATAAGTGGATGACTAAGGATACTTATGTTTAACGCTTGGCAAGGGGACCACGGGTTACGCTTGCTGAGAGATGCTCATCGATGTCCTACGCGTTGGGGATCAGCGAATTTCAAACGGACTTCCGACAGAAAGCGTTGCGAAGGCTCGACCTAACGTACAGCGATGACCCGGAGTTGCGGCAAAAGGCTGCCACCCAGTGGTGTGTATCTCAAGGATGACGGTGCGTCGGCCTAGAACAAAATCGGCAGTAAACGCAAAGGGAGCTTTCATGTACCGACACCAGCGTGGACAAGATCGCCAGGGCTGTCCCTGCTGCCAAACAGCAAATGGTCCGCCCATCCCATTGTCGATTCGTGGTAACCGATCCTCATGCTATAACAGGCCTCTTACCAGTCCCATCATGTGCTTGACCTTGTACACGATGTTGCGATAACCATCGGGGGCGTTCACATAAAGCACGTCCCCCACAAGCTCTCCGTCCGGAGGAGCGGTAGACCTTGTCACCACGAAAATCACCTGAAACCCCATCTCTACGGTTTCCTCGTTTTGTTCCTTGTGTCGGGCGTGGAAAACGAGGAAGTACAACGGATCAAAGAAGAGTCGCTTGAGCGGGGTATCGGGATGTTAACGCGTGCGTAACAAACGCATTCTCGTTAACGGAACGTTGCAGCGCATGGACCGCAAACAACAATGAGAACACGTTCTACTGTTCACGTTGGTGTTCTATGCACAAGCCTCCTGCCTGTCTCGAACCTATCATAGCTAGGCCATCTCGCGGCACCTGCAACGCCGCTTGTTGTCTTGAGAATTGGCTAGGTATGGCGTTCACAGTTTGCATGGGGTACTCGTGGCTCACAGCATTAAGAAAGCAGCCCCGGTTGCCTCGCGTAGTCTCGGAACGCCGACCTTGATCTCGCTTATTCCGACGTGCACACGAGAAAGAGAGAGCGACCCGCTGGCACTCTGCTACTGCTGCCTAGTGTAACGGACCACGATCAGCAGTCCATTTCAGAGCAAGCACGCACCTTTGATCGCTTGCCTCCGACGGTGACCCAGCCGTCGTACTTATCGTACAGTTCGCGGATGGTGTCGCGCTTTAATCTCGCTGCCTGTGCGAAAGAGGCACCCAACAACAACACCGGAGCAGTGATGCAGTGCAGCAGAACGGCATGCAAGCGTTTCGACACTTTGCCGCGGGAAACGGTTATCAAACAGCGAGTTTATAGCCCCTGGAAATTGGACACATAGAGCCATCTGAACCATGAGCCCTCCTGACTCACATACCGCCGTGAAACGGTTTTGCACTTTCCACTGCTGCACACAATCGGAACAATTGACAAGCTACCAATCTGATCTAACCCGGGAACCCGGGAACCCAACCTTGTAGTGCAGCACCGTCAGAGGATCTCGCGTGATCTGTCTAGCCAGGTAAAGTTTGGTTGGTTCATCGTACCTGCATACCTCCTGGGTCGCCTGCAGAGACAGAGCCAACCACTGCTGCATGTCCTCTACGGACGGTCTCGTGTGTATGGCATCATCTTCCCGTGGTGTGTCGAAAGGGTCTACTCTCGTGAAGACAGCAGTACGGTCGGTTTATGGAGCAGAGCACAACCCCACACCCTTCCGGCCTGCAACCCCAGCACACACTGCACCTTGTCATCCCCAGACAGGATGGCCAGCAAGAGGTCCGTCCTCGGCAACACCTGATCGCCCTTGTCGGTCAACGGGCCCACATCCATGCTGTGTATCACGACCTCCCGGTCCTCCCCCCAGTGCTCGAACTGCTCCGGAAAGGTCTCTCGGCCCATGAACCTCGAGTGGTGGCCTAACGGCGTCCACCCTGGTAACAGGGAGCCCTCGTCTACGATCGGAAAGGAGCCTCCCGCTGGGGACAACGTTGGGACCTCCTGCTGCTGATGCTGATCAACGGGATTTGTCGTATCCGGGCTGGACACTGCTGGGCCGAGGATCCATACGATCAGAGACGCCCAGGCCATCCCAGAAGCGCACGTGAGGAGTGCGCACTTGGTGGTGGTCTTGGCGAGGAGGTCCGCCGCGCTCAGGAACAGCCACTGCACCGACGGCCTGCTGCCCTTCTGCTGGGAGTCGGAGAGGTGGAGGGATGTGCCGGATGCTGGTCGCCTGGGGCGTCTTCTTGAGCCGGTGGGGGAGTGCACCGGAGCCTCGCCGCCGTTGGCGAGGCTCTTGAGGGAGGAAAGCCTGGGGGGCATCTGATGCTTTGGTTTGCTTATCAGTCGCGGTCGTCTGGCTTGGCTGTGCCTTTGAACGTGTGAACCTCCCAGCTCGTCGCAACCTTCGTGCTAAGGTACACAGCACAGAGTTTGGTCTACAGCTTCGGAGTGTGGAATGCGGAAGAACCGTTGAGAATGGGAGTTGCAGCGGTTTTGGGGGGATTTTTTCGGGGGGGACGAATGGCTATTGTCCCCATGGATGAGAGAGACGACACAGGCGTTAGGGCGGCCGTGGCGTCTGCCGTTACTCGCGGGAGGTAAAAAATGTCACGCGATAGCTAACCAGTTCAACAGTTTCCTATGGTTTCCTGGCGTGCAGGTGAATGTGACCTTGAGCAGATAGGTGCAGATGTATAGATGGAGTCTGAGACCGAGAAAAACAAAAAAAAACAAATACATGTGAGTCTCTTATTAGCGCTTTGTGCCACAAGTAATGGCTGCATGATTTTGGCACGTACATTACGGCCTTTCCTCATGGCACTTGAAAATAAATGCCTTCGAGAGAAAAAATCGCGAAATTTACTTCCGGCGGAGTGCTCCGGACAAGCTTTGCTCCCTTTTTGTCGAGGAGGACAAGATGCGTGGGCTATGATGCGGGTTACTCCGACGTGATGAACAATCGAAGAAAGGAAAAAAGTGAACGCAGTGAAAGAGGAAAATATATGTATTGTAGTTGATTTCAACCCCTCACCCACGGCACCACCATCTGCACGCCAGCACGACTATCCATCGCATGATACTGTTGTCACTTGGTTTTTCATTGTGCACGTGGGACTTGATTTTGCTGCGGTGATCCAGTGCGCCGTAAGGCAATGCACGGAGAAATGTCATACTCCGCGGAGTATTTGTCAGCGCGGTTCCTGCCGGAATCGTTCTTTGATTTCTTCGCGGACGCAGACTTTTATGTTTGTCTTAATTTTATTTTGATCGGTTTCCGAGGGCTCTTTTCTCGAACGGTCGGTGCGATAGATACCTGTTCTTTTCTTTCTGTCATTTTGTTTTCTTTTTTCGAGTGGTTTGTACCCTATTTTTGTTTTATTTCCCCGCGGCGTCGTGTGTGCCGGGTTTTGAGACCACGGGCTCCCCATTTTTGTGGACTGTATAGAGCTAATGTGAGAAAAAAGCTGTATTTTTGGTTTAGTATTTTAGGAGCACGGGTGGGGGAAACAATACAACACAGCTAAATGAATAGCTGTGTTTTAACCCTTACCTGCAGAATCATCAGACATGGCTACAAGCGTCCTCGATAATGAGACGTTTGGTAGAAAACGCTTGACAGAGTCACACCAACAGTGAAGCCAGAGAGCTGCAAAGCATGCACACGTATGTACTTGCAGTGGTACTGCAAGGTCAGGTGCCAAGACAAGAGCACTTGGGACGCGACTCTACGACCTACCCCCAACCCCCCACATAAAAACCTTCATATAACCAAAATGTGGCTGTTGGCAGCCAACGGAAAAGAAAAAAAGACGAGCTTAGTGCAAAAACAATATCAAAGCTGGTGGCGCTACACCTGCATTGTTTCTGTGCGTAGTCGTAGCCTCCAACCCCGTGTGTTTCTACCAAAACAGGGAATATGAAGAAACAAACGAAGCAACAAACCATGAGGGATACACACTCTCTTAGGTCTACCCGCTCGGCAGGATGACTGCCAATGCAAAGACGGAGCTACTCCAGGATTGGCTGGATTTGTTCGTGAAAACATGAAAATTTGACCATCCGAACGCCCGGCAGGCACTCGTCCTTCTGCTGGTGCCGCCTACTGGCATGGAAGGCATCAGCTGCTGCTACGGACTTAGAGCTGTGCTTCGGGGAGTCTAGTAAATACGTCTACCGGCGTAAATTACGCCGAGCTATCGCAACTTTAACTTTATCCACGTCTGGATGGAGCCTTTAGCTAAAGAATGATACTAACTCGTGATTACGATGTTGCCCTCGGGCTTTGGGCAACTCCATGAAAAAAAAATGCTAGCGAAAAGGGATGTACTGGCGACCAGCAAAGGATTCGCCCGTTCTTCAAGACAACACCAACTGCTCGAATCAAAACACAACGAAATGAAAAAAATGTCCTGTGATAAATCTGCAACACAAAACAGCCGGCGACCAAGGACGAGGTATTAAATAAAAAGCACAAAATCGACGTTTCAGACAGCACAAAAAAGGACAAAAAAAGAGCCAGTTACTTCCTCCCTCTGCTCATGAAGATCGCAACGACAGAGATCACGGCCACAGCCGCAATTCCTATGGTGGTGGTGCTCGAGTGTGCCCCCAGCGCCCTGCTCATGGCTGCTGCTGCCGACCCTTCCGCATGCTCGTCGTCGTGTTCATCCAGCGTGTGTAGCTTGAGGGTGGCCACCAGCACCAGTGCCAGCTTGCTCGACGCCCTCGCCATGTCCACTGCCTCCAGGAGGCTGTCGTCCCTGCTCGCGTTACAAGTGGAAGGCAATCGTTGCGGTATCAGCATCGCTATCAGCATGCCCGCAAAAGCCATGAACATCACTAGGCTGGTGCTACAGTATTAGCGAGTTAGGCCAACACCTGCCGACCGAACAATATCACGGTCGTTTCGCCCGAGCCTGGCAGCATTCGCGACATAATCGTGGTCCAAGTGTTCAATTGCGTCTTATTGACCCCCTCGCTGAGCATACTAGTCTAATGTACTTCTAGTCCCCAGGTGCCATTATGCTTCGTGCGCAGTCCAACGCACACCAAGCCCCACGGAACCCCTCAAAGCACTCCTTAGAAAATGTAACGGCAATCTCTAGTGAACATTGCTCTGGTGTATATTGTTTGTATTCGGAACGCTCTGGTTGGCCAGGAATGCATAAGTTAAAAAGTGGGATGGAGACAAAGGGCGGCACGAGACGGAACCAAACGCCACCAGATACTAGCTTCACACCCGTACAAGTAGTTTAGTTGGTTGTTGTTTGCCATACAACTACTCTTCCGGAATCGTGAGCACCTAGTTGCCTGCAGACAACTACTCTTCCAAGAGCGTGCGCACCTAGTTGCCTGCGCACAACTACTCTTCCAGGAGCGTGCGCACCTAGTTGCCTGCAGATAACTACTCTTCCGGAATCGTGAGTACCTAGTTCCCTGCAGACAACTACTCTTCCAGGAGCGGGCGCATCTAGTTGCCTGCGCACAACTACTCTTCCAGGAGCGTGCGCACCTAGTTGCCTGCAGATAACTACTCTTCCGGAATCGTGAGCACCTAGTTGCCTGCAGACAACTACTCTTCCAAGAGCGTGCGCATCTAGTTGCCTGCGCACAACTACTCTTCCAGGAGCGTGCGCACCTAGTTGCCTGCGCACAACTACTCTTCCAGGAGCGTGCACACCTAGTTGCCTCCAGACAACTCCTCTTCCAGGAGCGTGCGCACAGTTGCGTGCAGACCACTCTTCCAGGATCGTGCGCACCTAGTTGCCTGCAGACAACTAATCTTCCAGGAGCGTGCGCACCTACTTGCCTGCGGACAACAACTCTTACAGGAGCGTGCGCACCTACTTGCCTGCAGACAACTACTTTTCCGGAATCGTGAGCACGAAGTTGCCTGCAGACAACTACTCTTCCAGCATCGTGTGCACCTAGTTGCCTGCAGACAGCTACTTTTCTAGGAGCGTGCGCAACTAGGTCTGTACTAGCAACTTGCCGGTAGAACCACTAACTTAGTTATTGGTTGAAGTTGTACAGGGTGTGCACTAGTTGGAGACGGCCCCAAAAAGTCCTGCCTGACCGGAGGTCAGTCTCTCCGCCTCCCTGCATGACTACCATAATCCACACTGCCCCGCCTCCTTGAAACCCCTTCCTCTCTTGACCCAACCTCCCCACATTCCTCTCTGCATCCCCTTTTCGGCATCTCACCCGCTGAGCACGATGTCATCCCCGTCATCGTCCTGGTACTTGAGAAGGATGGCATCCTTGGGCATCTTGAGCTTCTCGGAGACGGCCTGCAGTACCCTGTCCAGGCGCTCCGCGGAGGCCTTGAACTTGTACAGGTTCCCCTCGTCGTCGTTCACCTTCGTCCAATCCACATCCACATCGACACGGACACCACAGTGATTGTCAACCCTAATGTCGTGAACAAGAGGTTTGCAGGCCAGAAGAAGGAGCTAACCGCACATCTAATCCTAATCGTACACCTAACCCAAGCCTCCACCCAATCCCGTATAGCAGGCCGAAAGAAGGGTCTAAAACTAATATCGTGAACCGAAGGGTAAAACAAATGTGAACCGGAACGCTTACCTCGACATCCGAAGTCTGGGGTCTGCTGACGAAATACTTTTACCATCGCATCGCCCCCCGCCATCGCCAGCCTCCCCACTACTCAACAAACATCACCACGCACACGCTAGACCAACCAATTTAGTACGAGGCTTCCTCTCGTCTCACCTTGTACACGAACTTCTCTTCCCAGCCCTCAAGCAAGCCTCCCATGTCCCTCGAGGCGTCCGACATGGCGTCGTCCCCGCCGCCCAGAGCGCTACCCCCACCCCGCATGCTGCCGGCCCGCTTACCGCTGGTAGAAGGGGGTGCCCCCCCCATGCCAGGCCCGCGGGGGGTGCCAGGCGCGCGTCGCATGGTGGAGTGCATGGATCTCTTGGAGATGAGCGATGTTTCGGACATGGTGTCGGACATGTCGTCCGCGGCGTCCATCGCTGATCCGAAGAACGCCTCCCACCTGTTGGTTGCGTTTCGTGCAGCCGGAAACGAGAATGAAAAAAAGGAATGGGCGTCCTACCATAAAATTGGTTGTGGAAAAATTAAACAGTTCTATCTGCGTCTCGGCGGGCAGGACCGGTCGATCACCGTCACCAAGTGCAACGCTCCCGACAACTCATCACTCCACATGCCACCGCATGTGCCATCACAGAACATACCGCATGGCTGCGTCCTCATTCGCCCACACAAAACCGACTCTCGAACCTTTAACAAGGCGCACAGCGTAGCAAGTTCTGGCGGCTAGCCTAGACTCACCCTGAGCTCCCCTCCTGCCCCACGGTGGCCTGGACGATCTCCATCACGTCAACGACGCCGAGTACAGCACCCGAGCGCTCGTCCACCACAGGCAGGTGTAGGTAGCGATTCTCGCACATCTGCACAAACGCCCCACAACGTCGATGGTCAAAACCATTTCGTGACCATTGTTGTTGTTGTTGTTGTTGTTGTTGTCTTCACATTAAAAACCGTTCCGATCTCTCTCTACCCAGTACCTTCGTATGTCCGTACTGATCCAAAACATGACGCAGTCGATTCCCGTGGTCACAGGCTTACCCTAAAAAGCTAGACTCAAATTAACTGGCCCCGAGGGGTCCGCAATTCAATACCAGGTAGAAATCAACGGCAGATATTCTGGGTCCTCTGCTCCCTCTGCGCGCTATGCGAGGTGACCATGGCCGGAGTCAAATACCGCCCTCAAGACCATGCCGAAAGTCAACGCTGACTCTTCAAAATAAGAAATACGCCCGTTGTCTGGGGATGTTACATAGTCTGAGGCGAGATTTATCGAGGCGAACGGGCGGGAGACGCGATCGGGCTTTGGTGGCGGCAATTACAAGAAACCAGAGAAGATGTGCCTTAAAAGACTACGATTAATGATCATTGCGCTACGTGACTCAACAACCATCGAGGAGGGTCAATACACACAGCAGGCACCATTCAACACGACGATGCGATGGTCATCTTATCCACGCAAAACAGCGCCGGGGGGGGGGGGGGGGGGGNGGGGGGGGGGGGGGGGGGTGATACTACGCCACAACCATCCGTGCGATCACAAAACACGACCACAGTAAGGCACGCGATCAGCGGACGTGTCCTGTCCTGTCCGATGCAAGCAAGACGAGGCTGTGAGTCATCCCAACGTCATGAATGACGCACCTGTTGCAAGGCCTCAACAACGGTCATGGACGGGTCTGCCCCATCAGGGTTAGGCGTCATGACCGAGAACACCGCCGTGGTGCCCGGGTTGAGTTTCTGCGTTACGAAGCAGCGGAATGGTCAAAAGAGCATCGACGGTCAGAAGAAAGGGTAGAGCAGTTCAAGCGTGTGTCCCCATCACATATATTTACAAACCGATGTCTTGTACCGACTTAATTGCCCGTGTGCAAGGCTTTGCTTTGGCGCGAACACCTGTGTGGTCTGACTGGCGTACAGCGCCAAGCAGCCAACGACGAGCCAATGTTCATCAACCCTAACCCACCTTGGCGATGACCCTGTTCATCATGTCCTTGGGGGTGAAGATACCCGCCAGCTCCCCTTCTTCCACAACCAGCACGGCCTTCTTTTGCGACGCGATGACCGAAGCAGCCTCCCGCACCGTGTGCCTGGGCCTAACGAACTCGGGCTTGTCCTTGCTGGCGAGCACATCCGCCAAGGTCTGGTTGGTGCCCTCCCTCTCCGTCTCTGACCCCGTCATGGCGAGCATCATCAGCTCCTGCCAAATACAACGGGGGGGGGGGGGGGGGG